TGTGTGCGTAAGTTATGTGTGCGTTAGTTATGTGTGCGTAAGTTATGTGTGCGTAAGTTGTGTGTGCGTTAGTTATGTGTGCGCTAGTTATGTGTGCGTAAGTTGTGTGTGCGTAAGTTGTGTGTGCGTTAGTTATGTGTGCGTTAGTTATGTGTGCGTAAGTTATGTGTGCGTAAGTTGTGTGTGCATCAGACAAGTGATGCTGGTGCTGGGAACGATACGTCAGTAGGTGTGTTGGTTGCTCAAGCGTTACGCAGGCAATTTCAAGCACATTCAGCTGACAAATAATTTGTACTGGTACGTGTACCTGGAACTTTTGTACTGGTGCATGTGCCTGGAACTTTTGTACTGGAATGTGTACCTGGAACTTGTGTACTGGAAGGTGTACCCTGGAACTTTTGTACTGGTATTTGTACCTGGAACTCGAAGATGGTAGCATCGTCGGTGTACTGGTACGTGTACACGGCCGTACCAGGCTTCACGAGCTTCACGGTGTACACGAGCACGGCCGCGCACGGCCCCCCAGGGCTGGCGATCACGTCTCCGCGGGGCTGCCACCCGTACCTGCGGGGCAGGGGCTGTTATTTGCACCCGTACCTGCGGGGAAGGGGGTGTTATTGCACCCACACCTGCGGGGAAGGGGGTGTTATTGCACCCACACCTGCGGGGAAGGGGGTGTTATTGCACCCACACCTGCGGGGAAGGGGGTGTTATTGCACCCACACCTGCGGGGAAGGGGGTGTTATTGCACCCACACCTGCGGGGAAGGGGGTGTTATTGCACCCGTACTTGCGGTGACGGAGCTATTACCCGTACCTGTGCAGTAAGGTGAAGAGGCGGGGTATTTGTGGTGGAAAGGCATACTCTTGTTGCAAATCCGTGGCGATGAAACTGACTAGAGAAATGGCTGTCGACATACGACCATGTGTCTTAAAGCCGTTGCGGAACTGGTGTGGCTTGCAGTGTTTCTTGTGTGGTCAGCGACTTTTTGTAGCTCTGAAGTTACTGTAGTGTAGCCTCACATGTATAGCTCTGAGGTTACTGTAGTGTAGCCTCATATTTAGTGCAGCCTCATGTGTAGCGTAGCCTACTGTAGTGTAGCTGTGAATGTTTATTTTGAACGTTGGCTCCAAAACAAGTTTATGAGTTGAATTTGTGGCCAACGGCCGTCCCATCGATGCGTTTAGGTTTTCAGGGCCACGCTGGCGTGATCTGTTCACTAATTTATTTGAATTCAAATTTTTACATAGTTGTCATGATTAGTGTTAGTTGTATAAAACTTATATCACTAAGTCATTGTCGTAAGATTTATGTATTTGAATACGTAAATGTATGTGAATGAAATGATTTATGATTTATGTACGTGAATGTAACCTATTAGTGACTACTAGGATGGGTACTAGGATGGGTACTAGGATGGGTACTAGGATGGGTACAAGGATTGGTACTAGGATGGTTACTAGGATGGGTGCTAGGATGGGTACTAGGATGGGTACTAGGATGGGTACTAGGATGGGTGCTAGGATGGGTACTAGGATGGGTACTAGGATGGGTACTGGGATGGGTATTAGGATGGGTACTTGAACGGGTACTAGGATGGGTACTAGGATGGGTACTAGGATGGTACTAGGATGGGTACTAGGATGGGTACTAGGATGGGTACTAGGATGGGTACTAGGATGGGTACTAGGATGGGTACTAGGTTGCACCCGTACCTGCGGGGCACGGGCTATTATTTGCACCCGTACCTGCGGGGCAGGGGGAAGAGGCAGGGGTATGTGTGGAGGAAAGCTAGGTGTTATTGCAAATCCGTGGCGATGAATTAAATTTGAATTTGAATTAAATTTGTACCACGCTGGCGTGATCTCTCCATCAGCGCTCCGATTGGTGAAAATTGCTGTCCACTAATTTATTTGATCTCGAATTGTTACATGGTGGAAATAATTATTGTTTGTTGTATAAAACTTCTATTAATAAGTCATAGTATCGTCGTAAGATTTATTTATGTCTTTGGCATTTAACCTTGTGAATGAAACCTAATAGTGACTACTAGGATGGGTACTACGATGGGTACTAGGATGGGCACTAGGATGAGTACTAAGATGGATACTAGGATGGGTACTACGATGGGTACTGGGATGGGTACTAGGATGGGTACTAGGATGGGTACTAGGATGGGGACTAGGATGGGTACTAGGATGGGTACTAGACTGGGTACTAGACTGGGTACTAGACTGGGTACTAGGCTGGGTACTAGGATGGGTACTAGGATGGGTACTAGGATGGGTACTAGGATGGGTACTAGTCTGGGGGACTTACTGGGAGCAGTCAAGTTCCCCCCTGGCGCGGGGGGTGGAGAAGGTGGATCTGAAGGCCTCGGTGCTGAGGTGGAAGCCTGGGGGCAGTGGGTCCTTCCATGCGGTGACCTCCACCCCCCCACCGAGGGAGTACGTACCCCCAGGGCATGGGGTACACGCCAGGGTACTCACGTTGAAGTACGACCCGGGGTCACAGGATACGCCTGCGGGGGTGGAGGGGGGAGGGTTGTCGTGCGATTAGACATTTAATATCTGATTAAATCGCCGTTATTCAACTTATAATAAAAGTATAGTCAGAGCTGGGCAGCGCTACTTTGAAATGTAGCGGCCGCTACCGCTACATGCTCTAAATGTAGCGGGCGCTACCGCTACAATTACTTAAATGTAGCACCGCTACTGCTACTGAAAATGTAGCGGCCGCTACATGTAGCGCGCTACTGCCCACCTCTGAGTATAGTCTAATTAGTCTTCTAGTTAGTTATAGTCTTGTACTTAATAAATAACAGAATTGTTTGATTGAGTTTGTCTGATTAGTCATTTTATTGCGGACCTCAGATAAATTATATAATGATCAATAAACACTTTTAAGCTTGCGTATAATTTCGTACGTTTTAAATTGAAGATTGTAATGACGAAAAAGCTCAGTGTCATTCCTAAACGATTACATTTTTTGTATTTTAAAGTTATCGATTAAGATTATGCACTTTTAACATTTTGTACTATTTAAATATAAATAAAACTTATAAATTTATGAATAGAAACTAAATAGAATCTGACTGCAGTGCTGCAGCCTGGTGGGGGGGAGGGAGGGGAGGACGCCCTCGCAGGAGGGGGAGGAGGGGACGCTGACCCTCCACCGACCCCCCGCCTCGTCGCACTCCGTGAACTCGAACCCCAACCCCGACCCCTGCAGGGGGGGTTACTATTGTTTATTTTAACATCTAAAACTAAACTTGGGAAGTTTAACAATAGCGAATTTGTAATTTAAGAGGTGGCGCAGAGTGGCCAGTAAAAGGAAGGAGAAATGTTAGGTAATGACAGTAGGACATTATTTTTTTAAAGATTAAGATTATTAGATTAAAGAAGATAAAAATTAAAAGATTATTTTTAAAGACAGCAAGAAACTATAATTTTGAACAGTTTTTAATGTTTGTTTATTAAACAACGAGCATTATTCGCTGTGCTGGTTGTTGCAGTGTTGGTAACAGAACTAGTGTTAAGGTAACTGGTAACTAGCTACTGAGGTAACTAGCTACTAGCTACTATATAGTGGCTGCTACTGCTTTCACCACAGATGCGGGTTCTAAGCTGCTGCTCTACTTTGCTACTGTATAGCATTTATTGCTNACACTCATAGATTCATGTATGCATAATATATATAACACTCATAGATTCATGTATGCATAATATATATAACACTCGTAGATTCATGTATGCACAATATATATAACACTCATAGATTCATGTATGCTAACATACATTACACTCATAGATGTAGGTGTGAAGAAATACGATTTGTTAATTTTAAAAAAATGTATGGAATTGGGTATCGATAACAATAATTATTGAAGCAAAATTGGAGCAATAGGTAAAGTTTATAATTTTAAAGATCTTATGAGAGAAATATTTATACCACCATTTAATAATACTATAGATAGTTTAATTAAATAAACAATTCTGTACTGACAGGGTCACAGCTACTGTAGTCCTGCAGCATCGCTGCGTGAACACAGCACGTCACAAGCAGCACCCTCAGCATTTCCCTCAGCATCTTGATTTATCCTTAGTGTCCTTATGTCCTTGGTTATGATGAACTAGTCACGACTGGGGTCCTTAATTATATTGTCCTTAATTATATTTTTTAGATTTAATATGGTACAAAATATAAAAATTTTATTAATTAAATTATCGTTAATTATGCCGAACTTGCAGTAATTATTGTTATCTATAAGCAATTATTCGATAGCAGAGATAACGAGAGTCTCTTATCAGGATAAGGTTTTTTATCTTATTCTTAAATTTTTAGTTTTTCCCGTAGCCTGATTAAGAATTTTTAAACGAATTCTTCTCTCAATTATGTTTAACAAAGCGTTTTTTAACGATATTATTACCAGTTATTGCTTTTGAAATAAATTGAAGTAAGATAAATTTCTTTGATGATACAAATTCATGTAGAATTATTTTTGAAATTGAGAAAAGAAAAAATTGAACGAATAAATGTGATATATAAGATGTAATGCAAATAGAATTCACTAACTGTTCACTATAAAAAATTTCCGTGCGTCCACTATTAATCATTTAATCCTATAACATACGTCCTGGTAATGCACTTAACATATGTTGCGACCATCACGTGAACTGCGGGACTGAACCTCACAGTTGACAAGAAATATATAACTTGACAGTTGCCTGTTGAGTGTTGCCACTATTGTCTGTCAACTTTAGGGCGTAACGAGTTGCCTGCTGACTGTTGGCTGTCAACAGGTTACAGGCAACAGCCGTCTGTTTGCTGTTGTTGTCGTGGCAACAGCAGCACACTGAGCTGCGTACGGCGCTACGAGCGACGCGCAGCTTCATCGATTGTGGTGGTGGTGGTGGTGGTGGTGTTGGTGGTGGTGGTGGTGGTGGTGGTGGTGTGGTGTAAATGTAGGTTATCTTGGTATGTGTAAGGGTCTGTGGTCGTGCATTGCACACTCTGAGTCGCCTTCCAGCTGGTATGACCCGGTAGGAGGTTTAAATCAAATGATAAGGGGCCATTGAAAACGTAATAATATAGTCCTCAGCAAACAAATATTATAGAATTCCCATTGGAAATTGGCCCAGTGGTTAAAGTTCAGAGTACCAGGATTGGAGCAGAGAGGCACGGGTTCGATCCCAGCTCTGTGCGCCAGTTTCTGGTCAGAATCGGCGAGGAGGCCGGGCGGTTAAGCACAGCAGAATTGTAGCAGTAAGTTGCGAGTTCATGACCGCAAAATGCTGTGAATGTTCTGCGATGTTAAGAATCGGCGACAGGCCCACGGCCTAATAACGCTGAAACCGCTATTATTATTATTATTATTATTATTATTATTATTATTATTATTATATCCGTGCTCCCTGGCTGGGTTTTGACGTCGTTGTTTGCGGCAAAGATATTATATATACTGTCTCTAAAGACTATTTTTAATCACAAGTGTAGTGAAATAAAATGACCAGGACCCCGACAGGCTCCATTGCATGACCGGTATAAAATTATTATCTTGAGTAAGATATTTCCAGTTGTAAGAATGTTATTTGGGTTTGAGTCGTTATGATTTATTTGGCCGGCTACAGTTTCCCAACATTTCTTACAATGGTGTGGGCAACCATCCGCATTTCTTCAAATCCACCTTTGAAGATAGAAGCTAAACTCCAACCTCTAGTCAGATTCAGAAACAGCCCACCATTCAGATTCCTTTCGACTGCCAGCTACGACACACCTTCAAGTTTTGTCCCCCACATCTGCGTTGTCTTGTCTGTCTGTTACTTAGTCTGTCTTCGTTTCTGTTACTTATTGCGTCTCGGCTGAGGTGGCGGCCTCGAGGTGTTGGGACGATCTGGGGACTTCGGAATCGGCTCGTCTTCTTACGGAGGACGGGTCTCTGCGAGACCTCAGGAGAGGACCGGATGCTGTAGGTTAGTTGTCCATCACTAAAGCTCAGGGTGTTGGGGTGACTTGTAGCTCCGGCCGGTTTCCCTTATGGATATCCGTCTCCCCTTCACTACTCTCAACCCAAATAATAAAACTCTCCTCTTCTATCAACTGCATATATATTTCGTAGAAAGCCAATTTGTTATATAAATCCCTTATTTTAAGATGACCATAAAATTTTAAGAGCATAGCTGCTAGGTCCGTAAATTTAAGCATTTGACTATATTTCGGACCCTAATATTCAGCTTGTTCTAAATTTCTATTTGGTTTTCGTTGCATTTAAATCAGCTGGCATTTATTTTGACAGGATGGGCAGCACGGAGCTTAGCGTGTCAGTTTGGGCCCTGTGCTACCACCTGGCTGGTTTACACTAGCCATGGTGAAGCTCCTGCTTCCGATTCACAGTACGTGCACCGGGCAACAGCTCGGGGTAATCCCGATTTGTTTCAAACTATTGTGTTCACCTGACACTATTCAGATTCATACAATCTATTGTGTTCGCCTAACACTATTCAGATTCACACAAACTATTGTGTTCACCTGACACTATTCAGATTCACACAAACTATTGTGTTCACCTGACACTATTCAGATTCACACAAACTATTGTGTTCATCTGACACTGTTCAGATTCAGTAAATTCCGTATAATTGAATTGTTTTCTTGACATTATTTTTTAAGTGTAATTTAATCTTTTCTTCACCTGTAAAGGGAGGTCACGCTAAAGTTTGTATATGGCCGATAAATGGCCGATATAATTGGTTTGACTTTGATAATGATCTTATCAGTGGTCTTTATGTATTTTGAGGACAAATTGTACCATGAAAAATTTTTTTTCACATTTAGGAAAGAATTTTTTTTAGCTTTTTCCAGAATAAGTCACCTTCTCAAACGTTTCATCATCATCATATTGGCGTAACAAATGAGTAGGAATTCCCTTGTAAACTCTCACATTTATTCGTAACAGGTTCTAGAGCATTCTTCTTATATTTCAAATAAGATTGTTCTTTGTGCTCGTATACTATACATCGTTTTGTGCGTGACACTATTCGGATAAGCACCTCTCCAACTTTTACTACTACTACTACTTAACGTCGTCTCCCCGGCCTAAAGACTAAACAATTTACTATTAATATTTCTTCTTTTATCGTACTCAGGCTTATTGTATTATGTACTCAGGTTTATTATATTATACACTCAGGTTTATTGTACTATGTACTCAGCTTTATTGTACAACGTTACCCGGGCTATACTTTCAACATGAGTTAGATCGTAAGTTCATCAGCCAATTGTTGACGGCCTTTCAAGCAAAATCCACCAATCATAGACAAGAAAATAGAGCGTAAGTACTTACGTTCACGTGGCGAGTTTTGAAAGTATGGCCCCAGGTCTATTCTACTATAAGTGCTCCAGAGAGAACATCGCAAGTTTTCGCCAAGAAATTCAATTTGTTGGTTCAAAGGTGCATGGCTCCTCGAGTCACAAGCGCTGGAATCAAACTCGCTGGCGTAAAGTAGACTGGCAATTTGATCGCATCGCAAAATGGATTTTATTCGACAGCCTATTATTTTTACGAAACAGCTTTACTTCGTATCACTGACGGTTGATATTTACCAGTAACTCAAGAGTTGAATTTAATAATACCATTCTCATACATATCGACGATCGGGTATGCAATTATACTAAGTTGCACATTAGCGTATGAAAATATTACTGTGTATTAGTCTTGATTACACGAGGCATCATTTCAAGAATGTGTTTGTAGATCATTTGAAACATAACTCATTTTCGGACATTTTCATTGTTAAGCATTCCAATTCCTTTAATATTCAATAATGAGTAGAGAAATAGTAATTCTATAATGAATAACATTCTATAAGGGATAAAAGAAACTACATCGTGCCAAACATTTAATGCAACCAACACACAGTTATGTTAACAACGCTGTAATCTAACAGAAATCACTCAATTTAGATAAATCATTTACTGCTTCAATCCTGATACTTGAACTGTAACCACTGGGCCACCCTGGCCCCTCTTTGTTTCAAACAAAAAACAGAACAGTTTCTTGCAAAACAGAAGAAACAGAATATTACAGCAAACAGAAGCATTGTGAGTAAACAACACATGAATAGTGCAAGTCTAAGAAGATATCAAGATTTATTTCAAACCAACAAGAACTTTTGACTTTGCTTCACTCGGCAAATAATAATAAATTATTTCAATATTGAAATAAATAATAAATTTTTTCAAAGCAACAAGAACTTTTGACTTTGCTTCACTCGGCGCAGAGGCCAGGGTAGTTGGTTGAGGGCTTAACGCATCCCTCGGTGGTGCTGTAGGGCGGCGGCAACTCATGGTTCTTGTCTAACATGTTGCCGGACGGACCGTAGTTGCAGATGTACTTAACGCAGTTTAAAAGACCCCAAGAGGGGTTAGTTTTGTTAACCCAGGAACACTTTTCATTGTTACCGAAGGCCCCGCAGCCAACATGACGAGTATTGTGCCATACTACCTGGAATTCGTGGGCAAATTAGACTTAAATATATTATTAGATTTAGTTTTGAGACATTTAACCAGCAAACCATGAGAATTTTATTTTCTTGCATTCATTTATATCGCATTAAAAAAGAACCTGTGTTATTAAAGATTTTTTCTTCCTTAAAGCTAATAGCAACTGATCCAAATTAATCGCATTTTTACTTACGAACGTCTCAGCAGCTGCTACGCTGTCCCAATTCATTAATAATCCTGTTAATTTGTGCACATTTAGAGGGAAAGCATGAAATGCTGCAGTTTTATGAAGAATTAGATAATGTATTTGTTATTTCTTAAACCTAAGGTAATTTCCTAAACACCTTAAACCTAAACCTAAATCATTTAATGTATGAATAACCTGAGTGTAGTGACCGACGACTTTCCAGTTGCCCTTCAAATTGGAGCCATCCATCTTCTCGGCTTCATTGGTCCAGGAATCAATGGCTTTCTGCCAATTCGCTTTCTGCTCAATGCAAATCAAATGAAAAAGTTTGAAGTGCGCCATTTAAACAAGTCTGCATCACCTGTGTATTCCACATGGCCTGAGAAACGATATTGATTTCTTTGTTAACATCAAAAAATGTGAATATTATTATGAAAACATAAAGGCAGAGAAGTTTGAGCAACGTGAACGTATAATTGCAGTTAAATATACGTATGACTAGCCTCAATAGTTGCAGAATTCGCCTCTAGGTAGAGGTTTTGACCGACGCTGTAGTCAGGGACGATATTGCATTTTTTGCAGTCATGCCCTAAGACAAACTGCTCTGCCCAGCGCTGTTGAATGGAAATACTCATGCAGTAATGACTAGAACGCGTCCATGTCTGATTTATAAATGTAGCAACGAAGAACATGTAACAGTTTCCTCATTTTGATCGATACCTATACTATATAGGTTGTAATTCAGTTAAAGGCTACAATTCAGGTGAAAAGTATCAATACAATTCTCATGGCATTCAAACGAACCGAAATTATTACCCACATTATATTCGAATTCTCTATTAATTTAATTATTGGTTACTACTGAGAATAAATAACTTATTAGAGCCATCATAGTATCGGATATTCGAATTCTCTATTAATTAAATTATTTATTACTACTGAAAAGAAATAATCCATTAGAGCCATCATAGTATCGGATATTCGAATTCTCTATTAATTAAATTATTTATTACTACTGAGAAGAAATAATTTATTAGAGCCATCATAGTATCGGATTTGCACACAAGAGCTCTCACCTGCGCTGTCCGCGCGAGGTCGTCGTTCCAGCTCAACTCGCGGATATTCTTGCCCGCGGGCTGCGGACCCGGAGACCCTCGCGTCTCTTGGCCCTTGGCCACCTGAAATTACGGTATGCAAATGAGAACGCAACCACCGAAAATGATAGAAAAAAACTATTTTTATATGTCAATTTTCGTATGCAAATGAGAACGCGACCACCGAAAATGATATAAATAAAAAATTTTATTTGTCGGGTTTATCACGTCTCTTGGCCCTTGACCACCTGAAATTTCCGTATGCAAATGAGAACGCGACTACCGAAAATGATATAAATAAAAAATTATTTGTCGGCTAAACGACACTGATCGTCGACTGCAGGTTTGGTTGCAAACAAGATGCGATTGAGTTTGATTGGCATCCAAGAAGAGATACTGAAAATGATATAACTCGCACATGATATACTTGCAAAAAAATTATAATCAAATAACTTCTTTCCAGTCATGACAACTAAAGTCCTTTTTAAAAAGTTTAATTAACAGTTTGCGTTATAAAACATGGTTAGGTTTATTTGTTGTCTATCACTTGAAAATTATTAAACTGATCAATAATAATTTGCGGGAACCTCAACACGTTGATGTACGTAATATCATTGCTTACCTTCTGTCGGTATTCGTTATGGTATTTGACGATGAAAACCTTCTCATCCTCGGTAACTCCACACGGCCCTCCGTTGGCATCGGTAGCGCAGTTCTTGGCGGGAAAACAGGTGGTGTGCTCGCTGCCGTACTTGGCGCACAGCGGATCCACCTCCGCTCCGCTCACTGAAAATAAGATATTGATGATGGGTGGATAGCTAGAGGTTAGCATAGCCCAAGTACGTAGTGCGATTCATATACCTTCCCGAGCGTAACGCAGCCGGGCATCTTCACGGCTTTTGACACAAAGCGCCCACCACAACAGCGCCGTTCAGTCACATAGGCACTGGTTCACAGCGCCGGAGCACAACTGGCCGGAGTGCAACAGGCCCTACCGCAACAGCTACTCCTAACGTAACCTAACCTAACCTAACCTAACTTGCGCCGCCTGTTGCGGTAGGGCCTGTTGCGCTCCGGCCAGTTGGGCTCCGGCGCTGTGAAGCAATGGCTGTGTTGTGCAAAGCGTTTTACTGATAGCCGGAGTTACCCACAGCTCATTGGTCTGAGGCTATGTGTAGATATTGCATGCTGATGGTTGGCGTTGGGCCCAGGGCCTGTTTACGACTCAATTTTGTTACCCACGGCTGCGCTCCCATGATGATGATTTTTCAGGTATTAACAAGATGCTGATGAATTTAAAGGTATTACCGATAAGCTGTTGATTTCAAGGACAACAATTTGTGGACTCATGGTAAGATGATGATGAGTTTAGAAACAGATTATTTGGCGCTCTCTTGGTAAGATGTTAATGAATTTTTTCAAGTATGATATAAATTTGTTTATAAATATATTCAGGAATAAAACTAGCACAATCTTAATTTTTCAACCACAATAAAAAACTGGAGCTATTGATATGTAGACAAAATATATTTGAAACACATGTTGAGGATTCATGGGACCCGACCTTTAATATTGAACGCAAGGTTTTCTGTCTTATTTTAAAGTTTTTGTCTTATTGTACAAAGTTTTTGTCTTATTTTAGTTACGTTCACCACAACGCGCCCTTGTACGTATTTGTTCTTGTATATTCTAGCACAACCGCAGTTAATCCGATGTTCAGTAAGAACTTCGTAGAATTATATCGCCTCGCATCTTATTAGGGAATTATTTGTTACTTTAGCGACTATGCAAATAGATTTCCTCCAGTTTCCTCCGTAGATATTCAACAGAGCTCTCCTTAATCTTAAATAATGTCCATAGTAGAAACAATGATTGACATTATATTTTATTTTCTATGTTAGTTTCAGAAACATCAACGAACTCAAATAAAGGCAAGCAAGTCCACTGTATTAAAGCATCTTAAAATTCGCTCAAGGAAACCCGTAGTTTCCTTCCTATACACTTACTGGAAGCAGTCAGAGATATCCCAGCGAGCACCACGAGAACTTTGCCCAGCATTTTTACCTGAAATATTGAAAGTTAAAGTAAGATATTTTTCCTTAAGGCTATCGAATGCAATTCAGGAATTTTAAATGAAAAAGGAAAAATTTTCACACAAAAAATACAAAAGAAATTTAGGAATTCTACCAAAAAGTAACAATTTCTTGAATGATAACCCATCACATGAGACGAACGAAATCAATGAAAAGTTGAAATTCGTACATGTGCGTCTTGGAAAGAAAAAATTTTTTAGCCCTACAATTAATTATTACCCACACTCAAACAACAATTTGACGCCTAAATTATACGAAAAAAATTTAGGTGCGAACATTTTAAAAATCCCTTTCAGCAAAACCGTAAATTTAAATAACACACAATTTTTGTAAGTTGTAACAAATCTAAATAAGAATTCCAAAATATCACGAGAACCTACCGATAAATACGGCGCGCTTTCACACTGAAATAAATGATCAAGAGAAGTTCGTAGGCACGAATGGTCGTGGCTTATTATCGCTGTCTAATTTATACTGAAGCCTCGTACAAATTTCAGACTGTGGTTCAAATTTGAACAGTTGCCCGAAAATTCGAGAACACATTTGAAGTGTGACCAAGTGTGAGGAACGAATGGTGACTAAGGGGCCAGTTGTCATAGTTAATTGGCCGTGCGATAAGGTGAGAGTGCAATGTATACATCACACACTCCTGCACCACACACTCCTGCATCACACACTCCTACTTCATACACCCTTCATCTACACACCCGCATTGCTGTTTGCTCGAACATGAGTCATGATAGATCAACATGTTGTGAACAGGTCGATGCAAGCCTACAGCACATCACCCAGAGAGACACAGGTACGTATGTTTGAGCGACGATATCAGAAAAGATGTACAGGGGTCATACTTTCAAAACTTGCTAAGTCAACGTAAGTACTTACGCTCTAATTTCTTTTCCTTGATTGGTGGATTTTGCTTGAAAGGCCGTCAATGATTGGCTGATGAACTTACGATCTCTTAACTTTTTTGAAAGTATAGGCGCAGAACCTGATAACTCTTCATCCATAGAACTTCGCTTTGTTTGCATTTCTGAACCAAATGAAATTTAGTTACTACAGGAAAAATTTTTAACTTTGAAACATTTCAAATTGATGATTCTTGAAATACTTTGAAACATGTGGAACTTAATTCTTAAAATACATTGAAACATTTAGAGCATGATAATTCCTATAATATACTACGTTCGCAACGAATATTTGGGCGAGATCTTGAAGTCTTTGTCTAGTATGGACCTGTGACATCCAGAGAGTTTCGCCTTCTTACAAGTTTTATTTGCTAAAATAAATCAGCTGAAACGACAAAGATTGTTTGGAGTTTAAGACTGAGTAAAGCGAACAAGATGAAGCTGAGCCTTGCCTTGTTGATCCAGTTTCTTTGCCTCATAAATCACGATCGGCAGAGATACGAAGACTCCAGGGGAAAACAATCACTTTAATTGTGTGTAAACTTTACTCTTGATAGGTAACAGATAATAAAATACAGCACTGTAGAAAAAATGTTTATCACAAGTCAGGTTAGGAAAACATTGTGCTTAGTGTCTTTGTCCGAACAAAATTCAAGTCACAGTATCTGCGTAGTAAAAAAAAGCAAGAAACTTCAAAGTTTTACTCGAGGTTTCCTAAGCTTTTATATACATATATACGATGTTCGGTGCTTCAATTCCAATCAAATTTAGAGTCGTTAAACCTTCTGATTACCCGAATCAGAAGCTTTCACGTCTAAAAAATTGTATTGGGAAGTTTATTGTTGCATTGCTTTACTGTTGTATATAGTGTGAAAAAGCAGTAAAATTGTACCACTAGATGAAGGAGCCCTGATTTGCATAAGAAAGCAATCCAAAGTAAAGTCTGGGAGGCACAATTGTGGATTTTTTATTTGACAGATGGAGAAGATCTTCATGTAACTGGCGTGGAAACGAGTGTGGAAACGCTCGTGGAAAAGTGTTTAAAGAAACGGACATGGAAATGGGTAGGGAATTAACAGCCTTAAAAGTTGCGTGGAAATAGGTTAGAAGACGGGCACAGAAATGGGTGTGGGAAGGTGAGCGTGGGAATTGTTCGGGGCTTCAATTCGACATATCTTGCGGTGTCCTACAGCAAATGACAAATGTGATGAACTAAAGGGATAGATAAATTTAGAATGACAAGAATTTGTGTAATAACCTGATGACAAAGAATGTAGAGTGCAAGAAAAAAGTTTCCATAAACAACATTTTCACGGATTCAGATTGTTCAAACTTTAAATTGTCGCCAAACTTGAGTAAAATACATCCCCTGTAACCACATACCTATAGAAAAGTTGACGGCAAAAATTTCGCTATAGCTTCACGTGCATCAACACAAGAGATTGTGGGTGCTAAGTTTAGTGGACTTTGATGTATAATTGCGGACTCAATGATTTGTTGCCTGTATAAACGTCAAATGTCTAACTCAAAAGAAGCACATGGTAGGAAGTTGGCAATTGTTTCTATTCCTTGATAGTTAAAATTGGTGGTGGTGGCGGTGGTGGTGGTGTGGTGTAAATGTTGGTTATCTTGGTCTGTGTAAGGGTCTGTGGCCGTGCATTGCAGACACTCTGAGTCAATTTCCAGCTGGTATGACCCGGTATGAGGTTTAAATCAAATTATAAGCGGTCATTGAAGATGTAATAATATAGTCGTCAGCTGCTGAAGACGTTCAATTATAGAATTCCCATCAGTGCTTCCCTGGCTGGGCTTCGACGTCGTTGTTCGCGGAAAAGATATTATTTTTACTGTCTCTAAAGATTGTTTCTAATTGCAAGTTGTAGTGAAATAAAATGACTAGGACCCCGAGAGGCTTCAGTGCATTTTTATCTTGAATAAGATATTTCCAGTTGTAAGACTGTTATTTGGGTTTGAGTCGTTATGATTTTATTTGGCCGGCTACAGTTTCCCAACATTTCTTACAATGGTGTGGGCAGCCTTCCGCATTTCTTCAAATCCACATTAGAAGAAAGAACCTAAACTCCAACCTCTAGTAAGGCTCAGAAACAGACCAGCAGACAGATTCATTACGACTGCCAACGACGCCAGATCTTTGAGCTTGGTCCTCCACGTCTACGTTATGGAGTGAGACTTTCAGCGTGCGTCTTGTCTGAGGTGGGGGCCTCGAGGTGCTGGGACGATCTGGGGACTGCGGCATCAGCTCGTCTTCTTACGGAGGACGGGTCTCTGCGAGCGCTGAGGAGAGGACCGGATATAATAATAGCGGTTTCAGCGTTTAGTAGGCTGTAGGCCTGTCGCCGATTCTTAACATCGCAGAACATTCACAGCATTTTGAGGTCTCGAACTCGCAACTCACTGCTTCAATTCTGCTCTGCTTACCGCCCGGCCTTCTTGCCTATTCTGACCAGAAACTGTCGCACAAAGCTGGGATCGAACCCGCGCCTCTCTGCGTCAATCTTGGTACTCTGAACTGCCACTGATCTCTGTGGTGGTGGTGGTGGTGGCACCACAGAGTGTTGGTGGTGGCACCACCCTGCGTGGTGGTGGTGGTGGTGGCACCACCCTGCCGGCAGCATCGTGCCGGCAGGGAGGCCCAATGGTTACTGGGACTCCCTGCCGGCACGATGCTGCATTGTTCTTGAACGCGTTCATACTCGGAGCGCCAATGATGTAATCGGGCTGTTCCAAATGTCGGTGATTCGAAGCAAGAAGAAATGTTGCCCTTGGAGAAATTGCAGCGCAGTTTTTTACTAGATGAATTAGTTAGTTATTCTAATAAATAAATTAGTTAGTTAATTTAGTGGCCAAATGTTTACTAGCGCTTCAACTATCTAGAAGTGTAGCGCTTCAACTATCGTCACCCAAGAAGTGGAAGGTCTCAGTTACCTAAAATTTCTCTAATCAAAAATTGTTCATCACCCACAAGGGGCGGAAGATCGCTTAAAACTATTACAAAATTATCGTATCATACAGATATCAAAACTGGCCATGATTAACGGGCTCACATGTCGATTACATTTATATGTTCCGCTCTACCTCCATTGTATAAAAATAAATTTTAAATACTATAATATCTCTAGTATTCACTACAGATCTCAATTGTCCAGCCCGCTGAAGCTGGCTCGAAAGGAGCAGCGTTAGCATCTCAAAGACACGAAGTGACAAGTGACAAGAAGGGGCAGGTGAAAATCAACAGAAAGACACTCGAACAAGAGGTTCTCTTACACGGGACGTCGGCCGCCCGCAGGGTAGAGGAAGAGAAGGGAAATGTAAGGAATCCTACCTACATAATACCTTAATGTACGGAATCCTACCTACATAATAACTTAATGTAAGGAATCCTTCCTGCATAATACCTTAATGTAAGGAATCCTACCTACATAATAACTTAACCCCACAACTGAAGCCCGCTGTCAGACACCGCGAGCTCAGCGGTGGGGCGCTCAGGAACAATTCCCCTAGGAGCGCGAAATCCCATAGGACTTCTGATGAGCAAAGACACACGTCAGAAGTCCTCCCTGAGGGGTAGATGAATTAGATGACGCATGATACTCATGGTAGTATTTTTTTGCATGAAAACTATCAACTACCCAGTAGCATTCATGAGAGGGTAGGTGAAATTTTAAAGATACCTATATTGGGCCTTTTTGGAACTATATTTCAAGGCATACGATGGAAAATGATTGTCAGAAACGTATCCGCTAGCCATCCATGGTGGTCCTATTGAGTTTTCGAGTCGTTAGATCAAATGACAAATTTTTTCATGCTACATGTGGCTTTTAACACGCTTTTAACCGGCCGTTGTACAGTTAAAGTGTTTCACATTGAAGAGGTTGACTGGACTTTTTATGACGGGGTTCGGAGATGATGGCTTTAATAGTAATGAGATTTTCAAATTTCAGGGATAATAGTAATCGAACCTGTGGAAATAATATAAGTAATATGTCTAGCATGTAACAACCTATTGTCTAACTAACTTATTAGATATCTAGGAATCATTGGTACGTTGCTTGTTCATGTATTATTGACTTACATGTCGACTCAGAATATAGACGTTTCGTGTTTGTTGTTTCCAACCGCCATCTAAATCCTAATCAAACGTTTCTGACTTGCTCAGAAACTTGGGTGCCGAGGAAAATACTACGTGCTATTGAATATTGGTGTTTTTCACTTACGAATTGCGTGGAATTTGTTGTTGATTATACCTAGTCGGCAAGTGGAACTATTTTTCTGTTATTAATTTTAAATTGTTCTAGTATTAACTTGACGTACAATATGTCGCGGAAGAGAAAAATTGTTCAAGAAGCTCCTTCCAGTTCCATCCTAAAATTTGATGAAGATTTGGTAAGTTAAGATATACAGAAAAACTGAATCTGTTTGATTATGATTAGGCTATTTGATTTACGAGTGAATGTAGCTAGTAGCTATACGTGGTAACGTGTGTGCCGTTTCAATTTGGATAAGATTGTATCATTTGTATTAAAATTGTACGTGACATAACATTGAAAGATCATATCATAATGCTGTAATGCCCTAAAGGCTAAAGTAATTTCTAGGTACCTTTTATTAACCACTAATTCGAATCTAGTATAAATTTGGAATAGGTCCTATTTATTCAGCATAAATTTCAAAAAATCTTGTGTAAAACAATTGTTTTATGGGTGATTTTAAAAAATGACAATGAAAAATTAGTCTTTTTTATACAGGTAGTCCACTTTTTACTAGAGAAATGAACAAATGGGCAAAACTGCTAAAGGTAGTACGTGTCTCTTATACACATCTAGATGTGTATAAGAGACAGCCTGAAATTACGGTATGCANGGCAAACATTGAAATATCCAGAAATTAAAATTTCAAAAACAATTTTGAAAATGTAAGAAGTAGGCCTATTATACAAAATATTTATTTGTATGTATTTTTGCAAATTTTGCTTGTTGAAGTTTTAAATTGCACTTGAAGAATTCATTAAATGCGGTCAGTACAAAAATTTTTCTTTATAATTAAAATTCTGTTTACGCAAATGAAAAATTAGAAACATAACAATTTAATTTAATTAAATTTAATCAAGTTTCCTGAAATAAATAATTATATATTGATACTTCCACCTTTTGAAAAAATGCGGAAAGAGCGTCAATTCCATTGTCCGAGTCAAAACCTTCATTTAAATGCTCATATTTTAATTTATGGACTTTGCAGCTGTGGACTTTGCTGTGTGTGGACTTTGCAGCAGTGACTTATTACCTCCAAAAACTTGTTATGAACAAGCATGCTTATCCTTACAATAGAAATCCTGTATATTAACTGTTTCAATGGAGGCTTTGTGGAAGGTATGAGAGGAAACAGACATCATTTATTACTGAGCTGTCAGTCCACAATGGGCTGCATGATGAAGGCAAGCTGAATGAAGGGCAAAGAATAATCCGCAGCCAGTGGTCAGCTTAGTACAATTAGTTATAGCCAACCACTGGCCATTCCTTGGCCACCTGCAAGCCGCCCATTACCGCAAAAAAAAAAGGCTGGCTAGGATATCAAATTATGAAGACTAAAGGTTCAAGGGTAGCAACTGGCCTAGATAGGGGACAATCTAGGATTTCACAGGATGGTTGCAATTATCTCGCTCTCAGACTTGGCCGCATTTTTACTACATGCCAGCATTAAGCTTGTCTAACTAATTAGAGTTCTTGAATTTCATGTTTCTGACAGGATTGGAAAATTTTATATTCAATTTCTATTGATGACTTCATAAGCTTTTTCTGCAATTCTTTGCTCAATCTATTCTTTAATCCATGCTTTTTTTCTGTACACTCTAGACAATTTCTGATAACACTTGTTATATTTTGCAGGACTTGCTTGGCATTTTGGATGAAGATGATGATGAGGAAGAGGACAGGTTGCAGCAGAAGAGCTTCACAAAACTTGGCTTGCATGGCTTGGATGATGGACCTGACACCTCTGACCCCTACTACTATGAAGATAAAGATAATCTACACAAAGAAGTTGCCTTCTACAAGAGCAGTAAAAAACAAACTAAATCTAAAAATTCTACTGAAATTAAGACTACAAAGAAGAAAGATAAGAAAGGAAAATCAAAATCTGTTCCTGACTCAGTGGAGGAAGACAAAATTGAAGATGCAAACAAAAGTGATAATGATAAGAAAGACGATGATGTTGATGATAGTGATGATGATGAACATGCATCAGAATCAAGTGATGATGAAGATATTTTTTCTAGTGATGGATTAGATGATGAGAGTGATAATTCAGATGAAGATAGTGATGAGAAAGACAGTGACGATGAAGATGAAGGATATGCAGAGAAGCCATCTGATGATGGTGACAGTTCTGCTGTTGCTGAAGAAATAATCACGGATGGTGTAAGAGCAAGCAAGCAGCTGCCGGATGAGTATGCGGATAATGATTCATCAGATGAAGAAGAGATCATGAACACTATTGGTTAGTGAGCATAAAATACTTTGGTGTTGCAGATAACATTCCACTGAGTGTTGTGGCGAGTGTGATGACACCTTGGTGTTGCAGATAATATTCCACTGAATGGTGTGGTGAATGTGATAACACTTTTGTGTTGCAGGCAACGTTCCCACTGAGTGGTATGATGAGTGTGATCACATTGGGTTTGATCACACTGGGCAGAAGATCTACAAGCCTGACAGAGGTGATGGCCTTGATGCTTTCCTCAGAAGAATTGAAGACCCAAACTACATGTGAGTTGATGAATCCATCTCATCGTTGTGATTTTTGCTATGTTATAGTTAAATGCTTTAAAATTTTATATCTGGTTTGATGTTGGCATAAAGTGATTATGTTCTGACTTCAAATAAACTCTTTTTTCATTGCTGGACCCACAAAAGGGAGGGATTAGATGCCACGTTATGAGAAGAGTTGAACAAAGTCAAATTGAAAGAAAACTAAAATATATTTATTGGCTGAAATATCTAGTGTGAATCTATCAGTAGACAGTTAAAACATGAGCCTCATAATGACAAAAATATGCCAAGTTATATAAGAATGTTGTAATGTACAGGGTGTCCATGCCCTTATTAAAGCATCTGAAAAAAAATCCTTGGTACCTGGAGAAATGGCTGCACTTTAGGAAGTGGAGAACATTGTATTGTTTGGATTAATTTTATTAAAAGGCCACATTTAGCTATTTATTGAATATGAAAAATCTGAGTTCTTTCATTTTAAAACCCCCAGCTCTTGCAACTGAGTGGTTCTTGTGCTGTGTCTCCCAAAGTTCTTGTATCCGCCGTAAATGAGAGAGTATTTGATTTGTAGGCGTACGGTTGTGGATCGGCTGACTGGCCAAGACGTGGTGCTGGTGGATGATGACCTGGAACTTATCCAGCGGCTGGTGAAGGCGCAGGTCCCCAGCGCTCAGTACAATCTTTACGAGCCTTTCATGGACCTCTACTCACACGAGGTCATGGAGACGCCGCTGTCTGGCAGACCTGAGCACAAGAGAAGCTTCCTGCCCTCCAGGGTGAGATCAGAGTTCATTATAATCATTCAGCAGGGACTGTATATTTTCTTGTGTACATTTTTCCTGCCCTCAAGAGTGAGGTCTAATACTAATCAATCATTTGTGACTCAATCTTTTCTTGTTTATATTTTAGATTTGACTCATATTTTTACCTTCATTTGACTCCTAAAAGTAAGGACTAATTACTATCAACCCTCCAGAGTTTAAACTACCACCCTTCCCCCCAGAGTAGCACTAACTACTACCCACCCTCCAGAGTAGCACTAACTACCACCCACCCTCCAGAGTAGCACTAACTACTACCCACCCTCCAGAGTAGCACTAACTACCACCCACCCTCCAGAGTAGCACTAACTACCACCCGTCCTCCAGAGTAGCACTAACTACCACCCACCTTCCAGAGTAGCACTAACTACTACTCACCTTCCAGAGTTTCCAGAGTGAGCGTGAGAAAATCTCGCGGATGGTCCACAACATCAAGCAGAATTTGATCCACAAGCACCAGCGGCCTAAGCGGTACCAGGCCTACGACCTGTGGAAGAGCGACCACATCCCTGTGCCCATGAGAAGACGCCTCAACCCCAAGTACAAGGCCCCGCCCTGCAAGCTACCAAGTACGTTGCTATTTTCACATAGTTATTATCTTGTATATAACATACTCTAATAGTACTAAAGATAGCGAATGTCATTTTTTATGATTATTGCAGACTCAATGTGATATTGTGCTGATTCATCAATCTTGGTTACATTTGCATATTTAACACGTTGACTCCGAAGTGGTACATATGCGTACCACGAAATGTATTTCTCCAGGACGTAGTGGTACCTACATTATTCAGGTTGCCTAAAATCGGCCAAATCCGAGAACAAAAAAAGCCAAAAAAGGCCGATAACTCTATATATACTAGTTTATTTGTAGGTTCCGCTATAAAAATTCCATTTATTTTCTATTTGCAGTATTTAAAATTTAATTAGGAAGTACTCCTGTCATAAATTTTAGCCGGCCAGCGCAATTGAGAAAAACTAAATCACGGAATTTGTCCGAAAAAAATGACCGTCTGGCAACCCTGTAAAAACAGTACAAAAAATGAAATAATAGTACAAGATGAAGCAATCGGAGTCAAAGTGTTAAATATGAAGGAAGTTGAAGTCTGAATAATGATGCATGAGTAAATTTTGAATCGAATTTGTGCTCTGATGTAAAGGTAAAAAGTGGAAGACAAAATAAGTAAAGTGTTCCAAATATTCCTGTGGTACCTGAAGAGCTTCTCTCATTTCTGAAGATAAATTGCTGTCAAGTCTACTGAAACTATCAAGAATTGGTGAAGGATCAATCAATGATTCAAAACTTGCACCTCGGCATTTTTTAGCCCACTCAGCATGTAATTTTGTATGCATAGACACAAAGTTTCACATTATATTATTACGGTTGTAGCTATTCTGGTAATATCATAATCCTATCATAGCAAACGTTTGAATTTATTTTTTTTCCTATTGAATTATGGTTCTAGCTTCAACCCACGCTTGCCCATTCTGGTTGCTATATGTAAAGCCATCCATCATTTATTGATAATTGATTGTAAAGCACAATTTATTTTGTAAAATAGCATCTCATACCATTCATTGATTATATTATGTTCGTATAAATATTCAAAAATAACAAGTTTCTTTTCCCGCAGCGAACAGTAACTCGTACAACCCACCTCCGGAGTTCCTGCCCACCAAGTTCCAGCTCGACTGGATCAAAAGCAAACATGTGCGCCAGCGCGCCGAGATCTGGGCCAGACTGCCTAAGAAGTACAACTCCCTGCGCCTTGTGCCCAACCACAGGACCTATGTCATGGTCAGACCCTATCCTATCTTAATGCATGGTCATTCATATTGCCTACCTTTCATAAGAATAACTAAGCAGTTTCTTAGTAATAACTAAAATTAAAAGTTCATGCGTAGTCTTCTTAGCCACACTATCTTTGCTAAGAGGCTTTATATTCACTTCTTATTCATGATCAGTTTTATATGACACTTTATCGCTGTCATCTTCTCTATCTATGCTATGATCTCAATCTTAATGTGACCGTACAGCTCTTTTAATTACACGTAGCGGCCGATTTCTCGTCTGTAATTGGAGGGTTTAGCTTAAAAAGCCGTTAGTTACTGGCTGACAACGTTACAAACTTTTAATTATTTTTCTAGTTCGGCCTCTGCTTGCTATTAGTATATTCTACGCATTCTTGGCTTTGTCAAAGTCTAGGTCGTTGCGCAACAAGACATTCCATCTCATGTTCAGAATTTTCACTGCCGCTATACTCATGTATTTTTCTTGCACTTCCGTCTCATAAAATAAGTGACAATTAGCTAGAGGCCGGCGAACAAACGTTCTTCCTGAGCTTTCTGCGTTTGAATTGAACTCCCTCATTAATCTCTCGTCACATTTTATTGATTTATCTTGTACCTTTACCGTACGCATCATTTGAATTCGACATCTCGGGAAACTAATAATGAAATACATTTCTCTATAGTTAATCCACTGCTGCTCCTGCTCTCCCCTCGAAATTAGTGTCTCCTCATTATACAAGCATACATGTATTTTCTTGGCTTGTAGTTGTTGAACGTCTTGTTCATGCGTATTATGTGAAGGCTTCGTTGATGGTATGATTCTGTTTGGATTGTGATGAATTGTTGCCTTGTTCCAGGACGTGTTCAACAGATGTCTGGACCTCTACATGTCATCTAGGTTCGCGTACAAGAAAATTATTGGCACTTCAAAGGTTAGTTGGAGTGTTTTATTGCTATATTTATTGAGTATTGATACTTCTGTTACTGTTAGCTCGTAGTCGCCGTGTGAATTCCAACGCAGCACCAGCTCATTAGGCTTGATGTTAATATAACCAGCACCCTGTGCCTGACCTGACCTGGTCCTTATATTAATGTCGCCATGTGTCGTTGCCGCCAGCACCTGTTGTCTGATCTGCCTCGGCCCTTATATCAATGTCGCCATGTGTTGTTGTCGCCAGGACCTGTTGCCGGACCTGCCTCGCCCCCGAGATCTGCGCCCGTTCCCCACCCGCGAGGCCCTGCAGTTCTTGGGCCACAAGTCGGTGGTGCGCGCGCTGGCTGTGCATCCTCTGGGCAAGATACTCGCCACGGGATCTGATGACCACACCGTCAAAAGTGAGCTGCCTTGTCTTGTGTGCAGTCATTTTTTCATTATTTGTGTAACATTTCTTACGCATTATTGGTGTGTTATCTTTTGTATATCCTTGGTGTAGTAATGTCTCGTATATATTATTGTTGAAACTCTTGCTTCCATATTGCTTGATACCTCGTATTGGCACTCAGCTCCTAGTCTCCTACGCATTCACATCACAAGTCCACAATCATAGATTGTAGTTGATTTGTTTATTTTGGCAATGTAGAACTATTCAGAGCCTTCAAGTGATAAAAATTAAAAATTACTACCATTTCCCGCAAACATTTACAGTCTGGGAAATATCGAGCGGACGCTGCATCCGCACCCTGGACGTCGGTGATGCCGTCACGTGCCTGCAGTGGAACCCCAACAGCCGCGTGCTGGTGCTGGCGGTGTGCGTGGGCAGCTGCGTGGTGATGATCAACCCTGAGAGCTACCTCACCGAGGCTGCTGTCGTCACCAGGACCAACGCTCTCTTCATGGTGCCGCCAGAGCAGGGCGACTATGAAGGTATCTATTGTTCTTATGATTGTTATTAGTTGTATTATTCTAAGAAGAGATTATCATGACGTGTTATTAGTTTAATTATTCTAAGAAGAGATTATCATGACGTGTTATTTGTTTAATTATTCTAAGAAGAGATTATTATGACGTCTAGTATAATCTTCAAGGGCACGTTACATTTTGAGGGAATTGATAAACTTTTTAAGTCGGGACAAAAATAAAGATATAATAATAATATACGTTTAATTATTACTTTTTAAAGACAACACTTCCAAAGAATCCAGTATCTCCAATCTTACAGATGTACAATGAATTTCTCATCTAATTTCCGAAAGTTAAAAAAATTTACTTTTCAATTTTTTTAATATATATAAATTTTTTAATATAAAAATTTTTCAAAATTATTTATTCTGTTAATTGATTCATGCATTGCCTCTGATTTCACACGAGTGTGCAAAATTTCAGATCAATTAGACAGGTAAAAGTGTGTCAAATATCAGTTATAAGATTTGTAGCTGACAAAATTATTTTTTCAATTTCTTTAATATTGGAAAAAAAAATTTTTTCCTTTTTTAAAATCATTTATTTTGACATTTGAGTCATGCATTGTCTCCAACTTTACACAAGTGTGCAAAATTTCAGATCGATAGCATAAGTAGAAGTGTATTAAATTTCGATTACAAGATTTGTAGCAGACAGACAGAGTGACAGACAGACAAACAAACAAACAGACAAGAAGTGAAGTTAAAGAGAAGTGTTGTAATAATAAAAATAGAATGAACTGACGAAACACTACTGCTAACTAATAGGTGTTTTTCTCAATCGCTACGAAACCTTCACTAATATACTACTGTACTACTGCTACTTACACTAGCACCTAACTATTTACCCCCGCAGTGAACAAGAAGGTGCAGCGCGCTGTGACGTGGGCAACTCCCTCCAGCGACGAGCGCCAGATGGGCTACAGGGTCGTTCTCAAGCACCTCTGCCCCGTGCAGCAGGTTAGCGTATTTCATATTATACTATTTCATAATATTATAGTATGTCATAATATTGTATTATTTTTTGATATTGTAGTATTTCGCAATATTATAGCATTTCATAAGACTTAGTATTCCGTAAGTCATAATATTATCATTAGCTCACTGTAGTGCAGTGAAAGCAGCACCGAGATGACGAGCGAGCCGATTGAGTCTTGCCGCACTCAGTTTATTTTTCAGTTAGGCTAGTGGGCGGCGCTCAGTAGCCGTCTAGAGTGAGGCTTTCAGCATGGCCTTGGGATGGTGTCTCTAAGCGAATTTGGATACTTGTTACCTTGGTCATCATCAAGGTTATCATTATTGTAATTCCAGGTTTTCTCTATACAACTGGGCCAGAATAAAATGAATGAGACATTGAGCGGGAGAAGGAGAATTATGTTATATTGGTGCCCTGCTTGTTTATGGCTGTTGCATCCTTTAGTCCTACTGAAAACTGATCAATGTCATCGATTGTGTCAGATGTGGTATTATAAAGTACTTGTTTATGCTGGTAACGTCACCTGAATCTTATGTTAATTAGAAATTTCTGCCACTTTTTACGGGCTACTAAACTGACAATAATTATTATTAATATATTCCCTATATTAAAATATCAATGAATATTAATCGTGAATCTGCTCCACCCCAGATTGTGTGGCACCCACAAGGCGATTACTTCGCGACCTTACAGCGAGAGGCCAAGTCTTCATCGGTGATCATCCATCAGCTGTCCCGCCACCGATCCCAAATCCCGTTCTCTAAATCTGCCATCAAAGTCACGGCCATGTCCTTCCACCCCAAGAAGGCCTATTTTTATATTTGCGTGAGTAGCCTCGATACTCATGTCACTCTAGCGCCGCAGTAGCAACACTGCTCAGCGTCTCGCAAGGACAACAAATATTAAATCATATCGGTATATCCACCACATGGTTCTGTTGAATCTTGTTTGTCATGCGGTCTGTATTTATTTAGATCGGTTTGTATTACAATCGATGTCGGAAAAAGCAGTACATAATTGTTGTTTGCAGTGCCAAGGTAGAGTGCGGGTGTATTCACTCCTGCAGAAGAAGCTCATTCGCCTCATCCGGACGTCATCCTCGTCTGAATGGATATCATCCATTGCAGTGCATCCTTCCGGTGAACACTTCATCATCGGGTCCCATGGCAAACGCCTCACATGGTGAGTGTCGTCATCATCAGTCCTAACGTATTGTGGTAATTTTATGATTATTTTCATCACTCGCCTAATTAAAAATTCGATGTGACGATGTCGTGACATCTCGTGAAACAGTTCACTGCACTGGACGTGATCACCACAGCGCACCGCCTCTTGACCACATGCTACACAACAATGCATACCTAGCCTATCATCAAGAAATACCCTCCTCATTGACACTGAGCGACACTGCCGACACATTAAACTGATGTGACAAAACCCCACTGACCCCAAGCTCCTGTGCCTAAATGCAAGTCTTGGATCACAGAAGATACGAGATGTTTTTGCCGTAGCTTGAAACCTGACCTGAAACGCAAAATTGTCGTTTTTGCGAAGCGCTAGAAAACCATATACTACTATTACTACTACTCAATTGCGTAGCATCATTTCTTTCAAGACATTTAGTATAGCTATTGCGAGGTTCTCTTTCAGAGAAGCTGCAGGAATGGAAGTCCCGTCAAATAGAAGTAAGGCACTACGTATACTAAATATCTTTGCTATTCATAGTATTCATCATTTATCGCGCGTTTCCGTTACGAATGACTTTACTCGAACCGACCAAGTCAGACGAAGCTTTTTACTGCATTTTCTCATTTATGAAAAAAGGCGCTTTTCTGCTCGCCATGTCCGTCCGTCTGTCTGTCCGCCCATGACTTCACGTTTTCGTCGACGAGAAAATTTGCTCTCTGTCACTCACTGCAGTGAGTACGGAGTTATATTTTTTTTGTGGCCTCAGGCCGGTGTCTGTAGACATCGACGAATGGTAGGTGCTAGATGACGCGGTGAGCACTAGATCCTATGCTATACTCTAGATACCACGCTATAAACCATGTCTGCAAGTACTTCACCAAGTCCCCCGTGCCCCCAGGTACGAGATGGAAGCCACCAACAGGCCCTACACGCTGCGGTACCATCACGGCGCCGTCAGGAGCGTCGCGTACCACAACAAATATCCCCTCATGGCGTCTGCTGCTGACGACGGCAGGGTCATCGTCGCGCACGCCATGGTCTATAAGTATGTTTCTACTTATTCTTTTAACAATATTTTAATTTTATCGTTGAGTTGCAGATTTTTCATTGTTAGAGCTCACGCGAGTAACACTTGGATTCTTTGTGCGAATTTTGTTCAGTTGGAAGCCTCTCTTTTCATGCACTTATGACAGAATAAATGTGTTATTGAGTGATAATTATAATTAATAGACTGCTCTTGTACTCAGTATGAAATATGTAAAGCTTTGATAAAGGTAAATTATAAATCTTGCTTCTTCAGCGACTGGATCAAGGACCCGTTAATCGTACCCGTGAAGGAGCTCCGCAGCCACGCCTTCCTAGATGGGGTGTGCGTGCTGCAGCTGTGCTGGCATCCCTGCAACCCCGTGCTGTTCACGGCTGGTGCTGACGGAACCGTCAGGCTCTGGCAGTAATGCTGATCGTGTCAACTTGTTGAAGAATAACGCCCCAATAATGTCGTAGGAAATTTCAAAAGAGTAGACGAGAATGTTTGTATGAACGTAAACTGGTTTTATTCCTGTGTTTCACCTTCAAAAATTCGTCATTGCAACGTTGTCTTCTGAAGTGTTCATCCCTGGTGCGACTATCCTCGGGCATGCAGCCTCTCGACTCTCTAGTAGAGCATCGGGGCCGTGATGGTAAACAGTGACAGCAACGACATTGATTCATAAGCCACTCGCCCAATCCACAAGTAAATTTCTCATTGACAAGGGAGCTGGACCTTTCTTCCGTCTAGGTTTCCTATGATCACCATTTATACTATACATTGTACAGCGTCGAACTTTTGTATAGAATGCATTTTTCACAACTTCGTTATTGCACATAACCTGCATATTGACACGCGGCACAAAATATTCACCAACCACTTTTAATCACAGAACTGAGCTGAGGAACGCATAAGTGTTCGTTGGTGCAAGACCTGCACGAGCCCAAAAAAGGAAATGCAGAGGACCATGAAAACTTCTTTTTTGAATTATTTTTATATTTTAGTATTTTTCGTTCTCTACAGCTCGACAAAATTTATTCAAAGTTCCATAAATGCTCTAATTAGACAAAGTTGACAAACGGTAACATCGTTCACTATTACTCTAGCGGTTAATTGCAGTAACTGGGTTACTTAACGGACTTGCAGCAATGCTCCCCAGAATTACCAACGTAAGTGGGGGAACGCAGCTCCATAACGCATGCAAAGAGTTCTTAGGTTACCGAGTACGACCCGTGCCTCAGAAAGCTGAGTCAGATGTGCCAACGCAGCAATGGCCTGCAAAATTACAGTAATTCTGGTGTGATTTCAGAGCAAATCATTGACACAAGGGGTAAAATGAACTGTATGCCCTCAACCTCGAGCTAATTTTCAGCAACGTCTCGCTTAAAGCTAATTTTGGTTCAATAGGTCGATTTCCAGCAAACTAACCATATTGCTACTTCTAACCAAAATGTAATCGATTTTAATCACAGACTTTGATTTCGCATTTGCAGTTCTGCAGAAAAGTGAAAGTAATACTAGAGAATGCAATACACGCCTTAGAATAGGTTTGAATGGGGCTGAGACTCCTGGAACAATGTTCAGTTAGAACTGCTTTAAATCCGCAATCAATTGAGCGTTCACAAACGTTAATGACAAAGGCCAATAACTCGAGATTACCGCGACCAGCACTCATACAATTGGATCAAAGGAGTAAGTTAGTTTGTCTGCTCACAGTTGGCATAGTAGACTTGAGTTCAATTTCAGACGCGTTAAAGGCTCTTCACGCGCAAATTACTCCATAAACCAATGTCGAGACGAATATTTTGGATATATTCAGAATTAGTTTCCAAACAGTCGTCATACAACCACGAAGAAATGCATCAACGCCAAAGGAGCTGTATTATCGAGTAGCCTTACACAGAATCTGAAGCTTTCAAAAGCAACATCACTCGAGTGCACGGAAAATAATGTGCACAAAAACCATGGGAAATGAAAAATAAGTAAAAGCTTTCGCCTTGTTTGATGGTTAACATATTATATTCATATCTTAATTAGCGTCTACATCAACCAGACTTTAGCAGTTAAGCTTCATACATTTAAGTCTAATTATGTAATATGACCGCGCTTCTACGAGCAGAAACTAACAATTCATTACAATACGTACTTCATTTACAACCGATCATCTTCGTTAACTTTGTCTAAGATATTTAGCTTAATTCCTGGGGTCTGTTGGCCACAAAGGTCACGCTGGCATGCAAGATAATCGACTGACGCACACACGTGACAAACCATCCCGTCATCAGCCGAGTAGATAAAGCTAGGTTTGGGCACCTTTTCATAACCAATGTTTTAATTAAACACGATTAAAGTGAGGTAATTCACCGCTATAAACGCAACTTAAAGTAAATGCAAGAGATCAAGAGCAGGACAATTTCCATAGAATGCAAGTTCAGAGGAATAAGCAGCGCAGCCTCTTCCCAGCCAAGTTTCTACCAGCAACTTCCGCTCGCCTCCTTGATATTAATGGATCAAGTCTAGCGGGTAAGTCGTACCCGTTGATGGAATTGGTCCCGCTGGTACATGTATTTCCTACAAAATATCCTAGCTAGAGCATGAGCAGCAAACCATGCAATATGTGAACCTAGTATATTAAAAAGCATAAGCCCACATACCCAAACGCAGATAAAGCGTTATTACGAGCTGGATTATAAACAAATTATATAGGAAATTGAATCAACAGCACGTGGTGACTCGAGACGACAGCACAACATACGCACCACTGAACAGGCGTGCTCCATCCAGTTTAGAATTATTGGCCTTAAATGTTCAAATTAATAATAAATTTGATCTAATGAATAATTTCATGAGGTACTTCAAGGAGATAAATAGCATCTTGCTGAACAAAAGTGTGTCGGAATAGTCGCACGTAAATATTATCATTCATTCACAGTTCCAACAGCAATCAATGAGCTGAGGTACAGATCAGGTACACGTGAGGGCAACGAGCGTCGCGTCGATGACTTGTACAGCATGGGCGTGTTCACAGCATGTGTCTCCAGTGGCCCTGCAATAAGAGGAATGTCACTAGTGATGGGTTCGGTCCTGAGAAAGCTCCGCAATGCACAGTCCTAATGAAACGCCAAGAGCTTGCATACTCTTTACAAAAGAAAATAAAAATATAGAACAATAAATTGAATTTGCATTTCACATCATAGCAGATATAGTAATATTTTTTACTTCAACAGATATTAAAGGATTTCACCTGATGATACGGGAAAGTCTGATATACCCACTGATGACAACCTCCACTTAACATGACTAAAGCTTGAGATATGCAGATGGATGAGATGTAGAAAGCCCAATTTATGAAAATCATCTTCTAAGACGTATCCATTCCAACCCTATTTTATCATGAAACCTTACTACCTCAACATGAAACCTTACTACCTTAGCGTGAAACCTTACTACCTCTCAACATGAAACCTTACTACCTCAACATGAAACCTTACTACCTCAATATGAAACCTCACTACCTCAACATGAAACCTTACTACCTCAACATGAAACCTTACTTAAGATTAAAGTAGAAAATAATTTTTCGGCAGCTACTGATCTCTGTTTGCTTTCATTCTCTTGGTCTTTTGTATTTCAGTTAAAATATTTTACATCTAAAACGAAAAACGTGGGGCGCATCTTCATTTAGGCATGCCTTAATTTCAATTTTGAATTCAATCACTATTTCTAATTATATCAGTAATACACTTATCAAATGTTCAATGAACCATCATATTCATCATATCAAGTAATCACCAAACAATTAAATACATATGCGCCCCACGTTTTTCGTTTTAGATGTTGTAAAATATTTTAACTGAAATACAAAAGACCAAGAGAATGAAAGCAAACAGAGATCAGTAGCTGCCGAAAAATTATTTTCTACTTTTGAGTCCACATGAAAAACGTGGTCTTTAAAAATTTTTTTTATGCATTTTATTATCATGAAACCTTAGTACCTCAACATGAAACCTTACTACCTTAGCGTGAAACCTTACTACCTCAACATGAAACCTTACTTAAGATGTCACAACTAAAAATAAAGCATTAGACCCCAGTAATATGCAGTAACGCAAGGTTTAGTATATATTTGCTCAAAAGCTCCTAAATATTTTTAGCACCAAGCTTTAATACACAAGTAAACATGCATAAAGTTATGCCAGATGGTAATGTAATAATAACTTGTTCCTCACGCTCTCGCCACCAAGACAACGTAAGCAAGGTCCAACTTTGGGAGGTGAGCGCACTACTCCAGCAGCAGCACCACAAGATGCAGCAGTTGTGACAGGTTGTTTGGGGCAGATGCCATCCAAAGGTTCCCCACTGATGGGGTATTTCTTGCAGTGACTTGTGGACAATGACATCACCTGCACAAAGTAGTTCCTTAGCAATTTTGGACAACATTTAGAATAGAACATATGGAGATAATAGTACATATGCACCTATGAGTAACATGTAGGGACAAATATACCATCACAATGAGTTCACTATAAAATGATTTTCTGGGCGTTGAGGGTGGCAACTGCATAGCAGGGGCCATAATAAGAGAAAAAGTCAAGTTATCACAACTACCTAAGCAAATTAATGAAGTTTTTTTTTTAATCTAAACCCATCAATCAGACAAGAAATTGGCAGCTTTGTGTACACAAGTAAGTTATGATGGTATGGCTGCAGGTCATCAAAGAAGCAGCAAACTATCACAGGATAACTACGTAGTCATGATATGCCTATGATTTCATTATAAGATAATTCTATCAATTTCATTTGTTTTTCAAAGTTATACATACAAATATTCCAGAGAGAGAATACTTTTGACAAGAAATTCATTATTTGTGGCCATAACATAGATTCTTGGCTAAAAAATAATATTCTAGAGGTCTTCACATTGCACTCACTCCATGGCTGAGAAATTCTCGCTGTAGATTATCCTGTATGACGTCTGCTGCTATAAGAGGCTCGCACATGCGATGGCGCTTCTGGAAAATGTATTTCAGCATTGAGGAACAGTAAGAAGTAACCATGAATTTTCCTGCTTGAACAATAAATCCAGTTTGAATTTGAACACTCATTAAATTTTAAATGCATATGGTAGACAGCATAGGATATAGGAAATTCAATATCAAGGATTAAGATTGAAACTGAAAACTCGATGCAAGACAATTCAGTTCTTGTGGTATAGAACAGTTACGGGTAAATATTGAATGATCTTATCCCATTTCCCACAACGTTTAAGTATCTTTTAGAAAAACATCAGTCAACAAAATTTGCAACATTTAGAGATTAGAACAATTGTTCATATCGAATAATAAAAAGCAAGTATAAAACTTCAAAATCTAAGCAATTTTTCAAACTTACAAAACCTTGACACTCATCCTCGGTGTTAAGTTTCCTCTTCCTTTGAAGATCAAACAATGAGGATTCTATCAGTTTCATTATGTCCAGTTGATGAGAGCTTTGAGCTTTGTCACAATTCTGTTATCAGAAAAATCTTCTGAAAACAATTTATATAATATATACAACTTTACCTGAAACAATAAAAGAAATTGTCAAGTCGGGGATGAGTATTTTTGTATATATACAGAGCCTAGGTTGCATTTGTGATTTTGCGTAATCTTGTACATGTTTCTGTACATGTTAAACTATTGTTAATGAACTAGTACTTCTTATCAGTCATTTAGAACCACCAGGATGGTCAGAGTGCTCCGGCTCCAGTGCTCCATCCTGGTCCAGCTCCAAGAGCGGGACCCCCCCCCTTATCAGTTCGGCTTAAGGAAGAGAGGGGCGTGTGTGTAAAGGCCCTCCAAGAGTGCTTTTTGTTATTTGTTAAGGATGTGGAACTTATTTTGTTAAGAAAGTGACCATTACTTGGGTGCTGGAATGCTCTAATGCACTCGTCCAGGCCATCACTAGGAGCATGCTGATGCTTCCGAAATCCTACTCGTGTCAGAGCCTGTGGCTAACCCGCGCCAATCAAAGCAGGTCAGTTCCTACTTCAGTACTTCTGGCCACTGCGCTCTTCAATTACATAGGTACATTGTACATGGTCATTTAGAAGTCATTTAAAACACCCCCTTGGGCATTGGGCCATATGGCATTGGCATGGTGCCATTCTAGATGCATTCTTAATTACCATCAACTTATGGAATTTAGTAGTGCACCCACAACCCAAACAGGAGTGCACTCTCAAAGTTGCACTGCGCACGGCTTGGCTGACAGCTTGCAGCTTGACAGCTGAGCAAGTGCAAGTGACTATGTCTGATGGTGGTCATGTACCTCCTAGCCCCTACCATCTGTTCATTAAGATCAGAGGAAAAAAAATTTTTTGTGCACATACCTATATTAACCAGCATTTTTAGAATTCCAACCTGCCTGGAGGGTTAAATATATATTTTTTGTGTCTCTTTCTCTTCACAGTAGTGAGTACTGAGTATGTCTACTGTCTGATCTGAGTATACTGAATGTATGTATGTGCACAAACTAGGTATGCTAAAATGTAAACAATGCTGGCAAAATGGCAGACAGCCACTTTCTGCATAGGCGCATGAAATGTATTTAATTTTGAAGGCCCTGCCCAAGTGTTAGCTTAATTTGATTGACTTGTGTTTGGAAACAAACTAAAAAGACTTGAACTATGACAGCACCATCTTGTTTTTTGAGAAGTGTCTATCAATTACTTGCTTAGCTGGGATGTGCAAGGGGAAACATTTATGCTGAAAATAAACCTTGATTTCATATTTTGAAATTAATGAGAGATAATTTATCAAGATTACAGTTTTTAGCTCATGCTCTCAAAATTTCAGATCTCTGAAGCTATTCCAAAAGTGATTTCTACCATTCTGGAAATGCATGGTACTCAGCTGGTAGTACTGCAGTTCATGTTCAGTTGATCAGATCATTTTTATCATTATTTTAGTTTCACCATCATTTCCCCATAATTTACCAAACATTTTCCCATAATTTTTTTTCATTTTCCCATCATTTATCCTTATTCCTTAATTTTTCCAACATTTTCCTTATCACTTACCTAGCATTTTTCCATCATTTTCTCCTTATTTTCCTATAATTTTATCAGAATTTTCTCATAATTTCCTATTATTACCTATCATATCATTCATCAGTCATTTAGAGTAAATGCACCATATTCTGACATTGTGGGTAATTCCGATACTTCTCAACTTTTTCCTTTATATTAAGCTTTGTCTTAGTTCCACGCATGCGTAGATGGTTGAAATAGTGACGTCATACTATTGCATGCCAGATTTCTGCAAAGCACTAGGTCTGGCGGGAAAATGTTAAGATCCTCAGAGCAAAAGTCCACGTCACCCAATTAGAACATCGAAAAATGTGTCAAAAATGACAATTGACCTTGCTCTACCAAATAGTGATAAACTGTTTGTGTAGAAAGAATATTATGGTTTGAAACTTTTAAATAAGTCTGTGAATATATTATGAATCCTTTAAGTATACTTGTATTTGCTGACTTTAAGTGATAAATTAATATATGATTAAGTTACGAGACAGTTTTAGACACATAAAAACTAATTCAGATACAGCTCAGAATTAGACACACACAGCTTGTTCCGAGCTGTGTTGTATTCGAATATGGCGTCAGAACTACAAATTACGGTTTTGAAGTGCTCTGTCTGCAGGTGCAAGTCTACGGAGTACGGACATCACACAGCGCATTTCAGTGACGTCGGAATAAGTCTCACAATATGCCGCATTTAGTCACACACAGCATCGGAATTCAGAAATTTTGTAGATTTGAATTCTAAAGGCTTTGAAATAAATATGGCAACAGTTTGTGATGTTTCATCAATGCTGGCGCATATTGTGGTGTTTTGAGAGTGACTTAAAGCAATCAGAACTCAAGTTGTGCATACAGTGATCTTTTTATAGCCATTCATTTCTTGCTACGTCCTTAAAGTTTCGGAATATGGTGTGTTTACCCTATCATTTTTGTATTTGTCATTTATTCATCATTTTTGTACACTTTCCATATCATTTATCTATCAAAATGGACTTTATTCTGTTCACTTCTACCATTCTACCTTTTGGTAGATTTATACTCTTTCAAATCTATCAGTCACACCCACTTTTCCCAATTCCCACCCTCCTGCAGACTGCAGTCAAAATCTCAACCGAAATGTTTTAAATAATGCAGAATGGACAGCCATTAGCCAACAACAACAGCTTTCTAAATTCTAATTGTAGGCTACTAAAAACTTTGAAATTGGCTTATAGTAGGAAACCTAGATAGGGTAAACGTGGTATATTCCAACACTTTAAGGATGTAGCAAAAAATGAATGGCTATAAAATTACACCGTACATGCAACTCGAGTTCGGTTTGCTTTACGTCACTCTCAAAACACCGCACTACGCACCAGCAACAATGAAACGTCACAAAATGTTGCCATATTTATTTAAAAGCCTTTAGAATGCAAACCTACCAAATTTATATATTCCGACACTGTGTGTGACTAAATTTGGCATTTTATGAGACTAATTCTGGTATATTCCAACACTTTAAGGATGTAGCAAAAAATGAATGGCTATAAAAAATACACCGTACGTGCAACTCAAGTTCCGTTTGCTTTACGTCTCTCTCAAAACACCGCACTACGCACCAGCAACAATGAAACATCACAAAATGTTGCCATATTTATTTAAAAGCCTTTAGAATGCAAACCTACCAAATCCATATATTCCGACACTGTGTGTGACTAAATTTGGCATTTGGTGAGACTAATTCCAGCGGCGCTTCAAACTCTACTGATTTGTAATGCCGACACTCTTTTGTTCGAATTATGATTGCTGTGCGAGCTGTATTGGAATAAGACACAGCTTGGAATTAGAACACTATTGAATATTGAACACTACCTACTTAATTAGGCTTTTAATTAAAAGCTATTGAGCTTTTAATTAAGAAAATTTCAATTTTTGCACACAGCTTGGAACAAGTTTAGTGTTTCTAATTCCAAGCTGTGTTAGAATTAGTTTCTGTGTCTATAACCATCTCTTAACTTAATCATCTATTAATTTTTTACCACTTGAAATCAGCATATACAAGTATACTTAAAGGATTCCTAATATATTCACAGTCTCACAGACGTATTTAAAAGTCTCAAAACATAATATTCTTTCTACACAATCAGTTTTTCACTATTTGGTAGAGCAAGGTGCCAAGGTCAACTATCAACTTTGACACATTTTTCGATGGATGACGCGCACTGTCTCTCTTTGGATCTCTACATTTTCCCGCCAGACGGCCCAGACCTAGTGTTTTGGCAATAGTATGGCGCGCAAAAGTATGACGTCACTATTTTAACCATCAATGAATGCATGGAATTAAGAAAAAACTTAATATAAAGTAAAAAATTTGAGACGTGTTGGAATTACCCACGATATCAGAATATACCGCGTTTACCCTATGTTTTCATAGTGACAAACCAGAGATCTTTTCGAATCAGTTCATTTTTAATTTCCTTATTTACTAAAGATTTAAACCAATTTCTTTTGTATGATAATGCTGGTATCCAGCATGGTGATTTTTTAGGAAATCCTTGGGCATTTAGCCCCAGTGCCGCCCCCAGCACCCCAGCAGGCACACTGTGGTG